GCCCTTCACCCTTTCAGTTCCTTGCATCAAGAAATAGAGAATTAGGAGATACCTTGAGCAGATATCAAAATATCACTTCCCCAGCATAAGTGACTTTGTTCTTTTTTTTTCTTCTCCCTTTTCCACAAAAAAACCCAGCAATCCTAGTCTACGTTTGTGCAGCTGATTATCCTGGAACTTCGCATATGTCTCAGTGTAATTTTATTCTGTGTAATTTTTTCCAAGTTGTCAAGATAATTTTAAATTTTAACATTCTTCTTCACACAGATTTTTGTCATCTTCAAAAACTACAGCATGTTAATGAAGGCATGAAGGAATACCAAATGTGGGCAGAACTCTTCAGAGCCTTACTGGATATAACTTTCCATTTTCACAACAAGCCACTGTCAGCCGCACTGCAGTTAGCCAGATAAATGTGCGTCTGCCATTTAGCAGTTTTTTTCTAGATCTGTTCCACTAGCTTGTTTGCAAAAAAAATGTATTCAATATCTGTTAATTAAGGGATTAATTTACTACTGTTTATGAGTTTTATGAGGTATGATCACAAGTAAGCATCTATCTGCAGGTATTTTAATTCCGAGTCTGATGCTCAGGCTCACCCAGGCCCAGTCAGTCTTTCCAAATTCTCTCTCTCTGATAAAGGCAACTCAAATTGTCCAGTACTCTAACCTCTTAATTTCATTGTGACAATTGAGTTTTACCAGTTTAAAACACAGTATTTGTTTTAGTATCTAAACCCTGTATGTATTTAACCTACATAACGCCAAATCCAGAATGAGACCAACATTAGCATTAGAATGAAGAATTAAAGAAATTAATCTTACAGCTAAGACACAGGACAGATTTACAAGACAGTAATTAAACTCCTGCATTTTAGGCAAGTTAGAAAAGCAACACTTACATTAGACCAAAAATGAATAAACAGAATGACTAGATCCTAGACTAGATTACCACAATGGCCTGATATAATACGATAACTGCCAGTTCCACCTGCATGTGAGACACTGAAATCTCCCTGAAAAGGAAGAACATGAAAATAATCTCAGGCTGAAGCTCTCCTGGCACACTTTCACGTCATTCACAAAGAACCTTCACATAATAGCTAAAAGCCTTCTTCAAACATTGCAACAGAAGAAACTAAAGAGCTTCTCTCTGCAAAGGGAGGGAAGAATACCATGCAAATCAAAGTTTCTAGTCTACAGGGTGGTTGTCACTAGTTGCTAGATTATAAACAGCCACATAAAAAGGTCCTTCAAGCTTTTTGTTGCAGGAATTTTAAAACAGAGATTGGAAAGGTGGAATTGTTCATTTTCAGATGTATTTGAGAGAGTTATCACAGTACGAAATCACATAAAAAAACCCCAGTGGACTCTTCTACCACAAATTAGTCATTTACTGGTACTTAAAATAATTACAAGATCTCTTGGGGAAAAAAAAGTATAATGCAAATTGTAGTGAAGGAAGTTAAAATGACTATCTGAACATTTCTAACATTTGTAAAATTAATATTTTTAATAACTAAATGAAGACAAAAAGTAATTATAGGTGATGAATACCTGTTAGTAAGGTAAATCCCAGAGATGACCATTCAATTAAACTTGATTTATGGGGCCTGAGTTTTCAAATACTGTTCAAACCTGCACTTCCAATGCTTTGAGACTCCCTCTAAAGTTCAAGATATATTTTAAAAATAATTATTTATAAAACATGTTTTGAGAAAGAAGATTTTTGGGGAAGAAAAAAAAAAAAAAAGAAAAAGTCCAAACAGAGCACAACATATCATTTAAATGTAGATACGCTTTGGATTGTATTTAAACAAGTATGAGGCAGGAAAATAACTTATGTGCATTGTTTTCCTCATTGTAACATCAAGGACTGAAACAATCAACTATATGTTTAACACTGAAAAATTATTGCTAGTTTCCCTCCTTTCAAACTGTAGTTCGTTAGTTTTTAATTTAGAAATATATTTCCCAAAATTTTAATCCTTTGCAAATCACATACAGTACTCACATAAGTTATGAGTCTTAGCCATGCTCATGAAACAAACCCAATACATAATGGATGAACGTAGCAAACTATAAAAGCACAGTTCAAAAGTGGTTGAAAACCTTCCAGGGAAAGAAATTAGTCAGAATCATGAATCAGTGCTGATTCATGAAATATTTTCCAGCTTTTGGTTTGGGCTTCTATGGAATAGTTCACAGGATCCAACTGAACTAATCTCTGTTTCCTGGCAGGATTCTGGAGGTGTTAGAGCTGGGAACCTGCTTTCAAATGCAGCTAGTGTAACTAGGACACAGTTCCCGGCTCTCTAACGGGAGGCCTGAAAAACCCAGGGATCCTGGGGACAGACACCTGCAAAGGGACACAGGAAGAGCACCAATGCACAGAGCAACTGGAAAGGCTCCCAAGGAGCAGACTTCAGAAACTCCAAGGGTCAGTGTTTGAAAAATAAACAACATAAAAACACAGTGAGGGAAGTGTGGAAAAAACAAATAACTAGGACAGCTGGTGGCAATTCTGGCTTAAAGAACAAACTCAATTTTTTTCCAAAAATTCTAATTTGCTATTGGAATGGAAACGTGGGGCCAGACTGCATAGTCCCTCATTTAGGCAATTCAGTTACCGATGCCAAAATGTTTCTGCCAACTAGATACAACTGAACTTGCTTCTTTTATGTGCTTTGTCCTCTGTTTTCTTTTAAAAGGACATTCATCACAAAGAAAGAAAACTTTAGCCCAACACTTCCTGCTTGTTAGTCATAAATAAGCAGTACAGTTATATGCTAGGCATAACTTTATTCTGAAGTCCATGTCACATAAGATGTGCATACATATGTGTTCATGGACAAAAGCAAATCACTTTCCTTGTAAAAGAGTGATTTTTTTTTAAATAGCTATTTAAATTTGTTGTTGTTGTTGTTGTGGGGTTGTGTCTAAATAAATCTTAAATATCTGATTGATGAAAACACCCCAAAATATTACCATAACTCCATACAATGCATTTATAGCAATATGAGGTCTGATACACTGAAGCATTATACAGAAGACGAGATTGTTTTTAAATTCTTGTATAGCACCAGTTATTGTCATAGAATAAACATATTTTCTATATGTAGTAATTGTTTTAAATCCTGATAAAACTGTAAGAAATACATTAGCTAATTACCATGAGTGCAAAATAGAAATGATAAGTAAATCCACAAATGCAATTTCAACAGTCTGACTGGCAACTACATAAAACGAATTTATTAAGATCATGTGATTAGCAAGTTTCGTGGAGTTCTTTCATTAGTAAAGTTATGCTACTTTAAATTTTATGGTCTTTCAAAGGCAAGGCGTGGCTTTAAGTGAATGGTAACTTTTAATTGAGAAAAAACAAATAACGACTAATAAGAACAATTCTTTAAAATAAACACATATAGATAAAGTATGTGAAACATACGTCTGAAGATCAGGTCATCATTAGCATTCTTAAATCACTGAATTATATAAAGATAGGAGGTAAAGATTCAATGTTTTCACATTTGCCAATTTTTAGAGAAATAGCTACACATTTTACTTCCTTATAAGTCAGAATACTACAATTAATGACATGCTAAACCTATATATTGTAAATAAAAAAATAAATCATCTTAAAAGTAGAACTAATGCAAGAAAACCCTTTTGAGAACCGAGTTCTCCAGTGTTTTAACCAATAAGAGTTAATCTGGTATTAACATACTAGTATGAAAAAGTAACAGGTATTTAATGGGAAGTACAGACATACATTATGTTTGAGCAAGTTGAGAAGCAGGTGGCCTGTGATGTATATATTGCCATTCTTGACAAGAGAAAATGAGAGGTTTTCCTCTTAAACATTGAAAAAGCTGCAATTGACATGTACACGTGCATTCCTGTCAAATACAACAGTACCATTTGCAAAATACTGGAGGTGTGCACATTCCTATCTCTTACATCATTATCCTTCTCCATCACTGAAACATGTCAGGACAGTTAGTTCACATCTGCTCTTCACATTTCTCAAAACATTTTCTTTTTTCAGCCTTTTAGACACAGTTCTAGTAAATCACTTCAGGACAGAGCTCATTTTAGCTGTTTCTTGCACTTCCCCACTTCTCTTGCAATAATACCATTGTTCCTTCTGGTAGAAATACTAGGATTTGTAACTAATTTGTAGCCTGAACATTCTGGCCTTGCATAAACTATTCTAGCAATAGAATCAGATTTCATTGCCGTTTAGAAGGTCTCGTAAGTATAAGCTCTACAGATAGGTTAGCAACTAATTTTTACAAGATGCAGATCCAAATTTCACATACTTATCTTCTATTTAATGCTGCTGGAGCACTGCCATCTACAAAAGCAACCTCTGGAACAAAAGCCATAATCAAATGTGCACACATACATACGTACACAAATTGGGAAAATGATTCTTGTGCCAAAAACGGGGGAAAAAAAAAGGAAATTTCACATTTACTGTTTTCACAAGGCCATGAGGGCAGAAGCAGAGCAACAAATTGGTAATGTTTAGATTCAGATCTTACTTTCATCTGGAAATAGGTTAGTTCAATGACATTAAAACCAAACAAAAAGAAGTTGCAGCATGACATTCCTCTCCTTCCTCAGTATCCTTGAAGAAAAAGATGGCCGATTATTTAAGTCCATTATAGTTTTCATAATACACAACATAAAATCAAGACACAGACAAAGTACAGCAGAAGATCTGTGTCCCTGAATTATGTGCACGTTGTGACAGGATAGAAATGTACTATGTTTATATAAAAATATATTCAACATTTAATGAACAATATTCTGAACTCTCCTCAGCCAACTTTGCAACAGAAGCTGCAATTTTAACTTAATTTCACAATATTTTTTAGATATTTGTTTGTGGGCTAATTATTTTTTTATGCTAAAGAACAGTGACAAAATTAATAATCCTTTTCATCTATACTCTCTCTTTACTTTTATCTTCACTTTTATTCTTTTGATCTGTCATCCATTTGCTAGGGATTCAAATCTCATTAGTCAGCATTTTATAATTCCATGCTAAGAAATATAATAATTTCAACTTGAGATAGCATTTTAAGTCACTTCACTTAAGTATTTGCTCGGTCCAGGAGACGAAGTCAACTTAATCCAGTTTTACAATCTACACTTGGAATAGAACAGATGAAATGTAAATAATTACTGAAATGTTGCCTTCATTCTGCGCAGCGTGTCCTGAATTTTTCGAGAATGTTTTTCTGCTGGTATCTGATGGAAGTTGGCACAGTTGTCAGCTGCCAAGGCAGAAATGTCTGCATCTTTAAAATTAGTTATTCTTTGTCTGAGGTAAGACTGCAGCTTGGAATCTGGTGTATATGTATACGGATTCTCTTGAAACGCATGAACTTGGCTCACAACTTTTGCAATATTTCTTGAAAAAAGAATATAGTAAAAAAAAATCAGTTTTGCTGCTGATAAAAACAAAAACAAACCCCCCAAAACCCCAAATCAAACTTTAAAGGAAATTCTGTAGTTATTTGTCATCTTAGTTAGATGTCAAAATGACTGAAATTGTTTAAACTGGTAACAGTGAAATGCTGCATTTGCTCTTATTACCTCATTACACAATATTCTATTTTAAAAAGTTAGGTGACACACATGCATAATTAAAATAATTACCTAAGTTTAGTCCACTTATGAGCTCCATTTGTCATTGTGAATCCTCCAGTTTCAAGTTGTTGGACATGCATAGCCAAAACATGGGCTGATGGAATTGTTGGAAGTGTTTTGAATCTCTCTCCTTCCATCAAGCACAAGCTGTCACTTTTTAAAAAAACCTAGTTTTAAAATCCACACAGAAAAATCTCACGTTAAGTTCTCCACTTCATGTGTGTAGCACTACACATCTATTTGTAACAAATTTTAACTTTTGGCATTGAATTTGAAGATCTCACTATGAATTAATCTAGTGTCAAATGTTTTAAAGTACAGAAATAAAGTAACTTTAATCAAAAGATACTTCATATATCATTCTTAATTATTCTAAATCACAGTCAGAATTATATGTTAGAACTTCCCTCTATGATTCAAAATTGGATAGATCAATAAGAGAATGCCTGTGATAAAATAAACATTTAAGATTTTTCAAAACAGATTACAGCCACAAAGCTCCTGCAGAAACCATCAGAAAAAGTGTATCTGATGCCCTAGCTTGCTTTCAATTTTTTTCTTGAATTTTAGTCACACAGGATACACTTCTGAGAAACACTGACATTGAAATTAATGTAAACTCTCAGATTGAGTCAACAGTCTTAATTCAAATTAAAATCTCCTTCACAATACAAAGTAATAAATTTGGCTTTTATCCTGCAGACACACCCATTTAAGTAGACCTTGTATCTTATCCAACCCCAAAGAAGTATTTTCACATTGAAGACTTTATACTATACCTCAACAGCCTTGAGTTCCTCCATTATTTCAGCTACTTTTGCAGGTAGAATTTTCCAGGCCTTACAATAAAACAAAATTTGTTTTTCACTTAATGTCCATATTGGTACAAGATTATGTTAATCAAAATAGTTACAGAACAGAGTCCCAAACTTACTGGTAACTGTCGTACAAAAAGATTTTCCAAGCCTGCTAGGATTTGCATTGCAGTAGCAAAATTTCTTTGTTCATAGCAGCATTTTGCTATAAGAAGAAATTTTGATAACAAGCTCACCTGCAACTGAAAAAAATTAAAATATACTATATGTAAAAAATACCAAGATATACTGAATATAGATAGTAAATCTACGTAAATCTGCATAACAAAATCAAATGAAAAGGAAGAAAAAGAGATGCATTTTCTTTTTGAATTTGTTATTGGAATTGTTGACTGTAGTGACATTTTCCGCCAACACAAAGTTTCATCTTCTCTGTCACTGAGGTGTCCTTTGTGAAAGTCTGCCATCTATTCTCCTCAGGCAACCCATTTCTTACATTCTATTAGGTTTTGACACCTGCTACTACAAAACATCCAAGAGACCCAAGATCCTCCTTGTGACAACAAACCAAATTGTTAAGTGCGCACTCACAGGTGTATTTCAGAATATCTCCTGCAGCTTTGGTACGTAACAACTCATATACAATGGCAAATAACCATTTTATAACTAAGTAGTACAATAGAACAATGACAAACCTTAGATGTGTGACATGTTACAATTTCAGCAGCAACCCAGGTGCTGATACCGTCTGCATTTCTTAATAAATGTAGAAGGTACTGGTCTTGTATGCACTTCGACAGAAACAGATTACAGACTTTCAGTGAAACTGTCTCTGGAGAAACAGCTCTATGGAGAGAATGGGGAAAAAAAGGCAAAAATAATTCACTCTAATTTTGGATTTTCAAAGAAAATCTTGATTGTGAAGATGCCAACTTCTAACCATTTAAAATAATTTTGCAGTGCTTGCAGTCTTGATTTTATAATCTTTTGTAAAGTACGTAGTGAGCTATGTTACTTTTTCTTCCTTATAATTACAAGATAATTATGTGTGATTACAAGATAAGCATATGCAGTATGCATTTCTGTACATAAAGACACCTTCACCACTTGTTACTGAATAAAACAAACCATCCAATCTGACACAAAATAACAGCTAAAAATCCAAACTCATTAAAAACTGCAGCCGCGTTAAGAAATTGAGCCTGATGCCTAGTGGTACCACACAGTTTTATTCCCATGCCTGAACCCCTAATCAATATAAACCAGCTGATTTAGCCTTTGCCATTTAACAATCTGTAAAAGATGAGCTGCTTTAGATGTTAATTTCCTGTCCTTAGACAAAAAAGTCTGCTACAAGTATTGCAATTAACAAGTACTGACTAGACGCCAGCTGAACCCACTGAATATGTAAGAACTAGACCATAATAAAATATAATTAGGTCCATGTGGCTGGATCAAAACATTAATTACCATTGAGCAAGTAATTTAAATAAGTTGATAACCACTCTAATAACTACAGGAAAATTCTCACTTATCTGTGAATACTGATACTTCATCTACCTAACAATACAAAATTAACATTGCACTGAGAGGTTGTGGAGTCTCCACTCACATTCAGAACCCAACTGCACATGATCCCAGGCAACCTGCTCTAGCTGAGCTTGCTTGAGGCAGGGGGGGCTGGACTACACAATCTTGAGAGGTCTATTGCAGCCTCAGATGATCTGTGATTCTGTAATGGTCATTGACATTTTATATACATACACTCAGGCATTATCAAGTAGCCTGCTTCAGGAACTATTACAATTTTTTCCACCAAAAAGAAAACCTCTGAAGTAACCCCCAACACAAGTCTTCAGAAATATTTTGGCCTTACACACTTTAGTTTTCAAAGAAATCACCTTGCAAATGTCACCTACCTTGTACACATATGTGCATCAGTACATATATACATGTATAAAATATCTTGAAACTAAAAAAATTATGTAAACACACTATTTAGTCTGTTGAAAAGATATTAAGTATTTAAAATGCTTCTCTCTTCCTGGATGTGTTAAAGATGTAACACAGTAAGTTATTGTGCATCAACAGAGTAGAAGTGCAGTTAAAATAAGCAACTTACTTTTGGACAGTGACACATTTGTCTTTAACACCAAGTGCTCTTGAATTTAGAAAGTGTACTGGATGACATTTCTGAAACAATTCCTAAACAAAAAGAGCAAGATATATCTCTTGTTAGCACTAGCGGTTCTTTTAAAATGTTCAGGGATAAAAATGATAGAGGATTCCCCCCACTTCCCTCCCTTCAGCAAATTTATCAGAGGGATCACAATCTAAGAATACAATTAGCCATTCTGAATTTTACTGTAGAGGTTTCAAGAGAAAAAGGGATTATTTTAATTCAAAGTCTTATGAAATAGTATGAAATAAGCTTGAAACAGGGTCGGGAAATGGTAGAGAAAGGAGTCTGAGTATAAAGTAAGGACATAGATATTATTCGTACTTCCAAGTAAACCTAGACCTTTGTACCTGTTGCAGTAATGTCAGCTGACAACAAAGCTGTTGGGCACTGTATTCTGTTAAGAGATATGGTCCCACTTCATCTGCTTTAGCAAAGGAGACTGGGAATTCTGTAAAACTGTTATAGCATGGCCTTGGCAAAACTGATGGAAGAGAGTACAGTCGCTCTCTCTGATACTGTGCAATTGGTCCCACACCTTTGGAAAGTTTCCAATTAAAATTCTGTAGAAAAAAAATATGTAAAGCTACAACTTCTCTAAAGCAAACATTGCTTCCCCTTGATTTAACTTTCTGAAACATTTTGTTAGAGAAACACCTTTGTGGATGCAAAAGTCTTAATCTAATCTTCAAGGTTAGCCCAGGCACTAATTGGTTTATTCAACATTGCTATTCTAAGATAACATAATACACACAGTCAATGAGTCTGAGAAGGAGGTCACCAGATCTCAATCAACACTTGGTGTTTAAAACAAACTCCCACATATTCAAGATTGCTGCCATGAAATAGCTTATATTCTGAAGTTTCATATTATGTTTTATTTCTTACTATCTCTTACTATTGCTTGTACTCTTTTTGCTTAGAATCAAACATCCCTTTCCAAACAAATATTTGGTTTTCCATTCTTCTTCCCTTCTTACATCATCCAGGATCATTACGATGCAGTGACAATAAAATAGGTCAATGTTTTCTCTATTCTGCTTGCCCTTTATTGGTTGAATCCCCAATATACCCCACGGAATTCGACACCTTAATCAAGAGGCTGATTCTAAATCCAACTTGCACATTATTGATACATTTGACTTCCACATGTCTCTTTGGTAACTCTGTAGGAGATCTTTTTCAGGAAAAGCATACAGTATGCTCCATCTTCTCAGGTTACTTTTCCCTAGCACACTATACAAAAACCAGTAAATACAGACAAAAGTTCAGACAAGTTTTTGCTACAAGCTTTGAAGTTCTAGTAGAAAACCCCTCATCCCCTTCTGTTTTCCTGTATTTATAGACTTACAAAGGTACATACCTAATAAAAAGTATTAACATTCGACTATGGGGAAAAGGTTTCCTAGTAACTATGAGTCACATGCTAGTATCAAGGATGAAGAGTTCAACTCCGCTCGAAATTTTGATTATCTGATCTATTGCTACTGAAACAGATGACAGGCTGCCATAAAGGCTTAAGATGAATTCCACAGTTATAGAACTGTTCAGGCCTTAGATACTTTCAAAAGAAAATTTTAAGTGCAGGTTCATAAATTTTACTAAATCAGGGTCTAGACCCTAAGCTGTATACTCTAGTTTTTGTCAGAAAATAATACATGGAAATGTGCTCCATGTACTGCAGTCGCAAGAAAAGACATGCCTTTCTGGAAACATCTTCTGAGAGCTTTTTACATAGAGAATGTAATGTTTTTCTGTCCTCCTCCTTGCCCTCCTCTTCACATTTGTCCATGCTGGAGCACTGATGAGCACTGCCACTTTTCCTGGCAGAAGCATCCTCAAGCAATGACAACAGACGGTCACCATAGCCATTTAATGGAGCAACCTGTAAATGCAGAACAGGTTAACAGAATATTGAACTCAATATCCCATAAATTACAAGCAAGACACAATACAGTTGTTAAGATTCAAGTCTGTCCAAAGCCAGACATACTGAACATAGCTGTCAAAGACAGCATTAATTTTCTTTTAGTTTAATTGCAATTAGGACAGTTTATTGTAATAACCATCTTACATATACCATAACCGATTTAAAATGATTTTTTTTTCCCCTAAAGCTTCTACTGAAAGTCTGACTTACCTTGGAAGAAATAAATTCTTTTAGGGCACACAAAAGGTCAGTATTTGTTGCAAAGTCTACACTGTAGCAGTCTTCAATCCAAGCCTGCAGGATGTAGAAACTGCGGTTACATATTTTGGCAAGTGATGTGGAAGGATCCAGGCTTGCACTGGTAAGAAGAAAAAGGCCATTTCACCAAAATTGATATAATATTCCAATTTAAATATAAGTGTTCAGAAAACCACAAGTATTATTTGGCATTGACTGTATTATCTTAAATTCTTATATTTCATATATCTGGCATCCACGGCTCTATGGAACCAAAGCTGTGGTTGTACTTAGAACCCATCACTAAACAAGTGGCAACAGTAAGACTCAGGATTCATAATAAAAACAAAGTAAGCACATTGTCAAATATAGCACTTGCTTTAGTTTTACTCTCACTTGTCAAGAGAGTCTTAGAAACACTAACATCAAAATACAACATAATTAAATTTTTCTTTTGAGAAACAGCTATTTGCCATTGGGAGGAAAAGTCAATTGTGCTTTGATAATATTTTTCACAGGAAATTACTGTACCTGGATAAAGTGCTGCTGATTCTATCAAGAAGAAACTGCAAAAATTCTTCTTGTGTGCAGAAATAGCGAAACGTATAGAGAAACTGCTGTACATAACCTTCTAAAAACGCATTTCTGTGAAGCACAAGAAAAATTTCAGACAAGGAATAACAATTACACAACTACTTGCATTAGAGTACAGCAACAGCAAAAAAAAAATCCTCAAAATATCAAGAATTACTAGGGATTTTAAATTTTCAAGCTTTACATAAAAGCTTGATGCCTTTTTATTTTATTTTTACACATCAAATATTGTGATCACCAAGACTGAAAGCATAATTTGTTTTATAAAAAAGTTTCTCTACTTCCAATTTTATGAAGAACCACTTTGACATTTCTATCATCATTAAAAGTTACATTCTAAATAGAATGGAAGAACATATTAAATTTTCTTTTTTCTATCATCTCACTTGACAATGTTTTAAAAGATTATTCCATGATTCTATGATTTTTATTATAATAGCAGCATAAAAAGTAGATAATTTAAGCAAGAAAATATCTCATGTAGCTCTAATTAGAGCAGTAGTTTCTTTAATAACAGAATACACTTATTACACACACTTTAAAAATGAGTGTATTTTACTATTTTATACACATACGCACACACTCAAGGTCTTAACACAGGTTAATTGTCATATCTCCCTCACGGCTTACAGCTAACAATGAAAGATTGGGTTTGACGAATGTGGAAGCAGATTCCAAAAAAAATTGTTCACTTTGTGCAAAAATATTAACTACCAGGAAAAGCAGCATTCAGGACAAAGCAACTGGGTCTCAGAGGATGAACTGGGAGAAGCAGCTGGGAAGAAGTTGCTCTCTCTACAGTGGCACAAGTCTGACAGAGTCTCTCAGGCACTTTCCATCCTTCATGCTATTATGGCTCAGGTACCTTAAAAAAACACTTCCTTCACCTTAGTCGAAGGTTAAAGGACACCTTTTTCCCCATTTAAGCCCTGAGATAAGCCTGCATCTTGATCAGTCCCAAGGACTAGGGCAATCATTTGTAAACCAGAACCTATAAGTTTTCATATCCAGACCCTATTAATATGAATTATCAAATTATATGTTCTGAAGAATAGTTGTACTGATGGCAGTAACATAAAACCTTCATTACATGGCAACTATCAAAGCAAAACCTCAAATAAGCAAAGAATAAAAGTTTAAAGTTATTAGGTTTTGATTTATTATCAAATTGTGTGAGTTTTAATCAAATCTAAACTTATCAGTTTGGCTTATTTCTTATCAGACTGTCTTTTGCCACTTCCATGCCCATTTCTGTAAATAAGTCTCCACAGAAATAACATTAAACTTGCTACAAGAATGGAGAACTTATGTAATGTTGAGCAACTAGGATTTATCACGGAGACCATTTCTTCCTGAATTAGCAACTACGTTGCAACCCAATTAAGGATGTGCAAAATATACTATACCTAGAATACAAACAAGCCATTAAACCAAGCGGTGTCCCAGCCTGAAGAACTCTTATTCCATTTTCGTTATTACATTGGTGTTTCTCTGTGTTATAGTAAAGAAGTAATGACGACTCATCTGTAGGTGCCACATCCACGGCGTCAGTTCTCCCATTGTGAATAACTGTAGGCAGCACACAGGATTCCACACCCCACTGCTCTGCATACATAATCTGCTCAAAGATGCAAAGCCACGCAAAAATAAAATGTAGGAAAATAAAGAGGAAAATACACAGAAAATGCAGTCAACTCAATTTAAAGCAAAATCACATTTCATACAATTGCTTTTTTTCTTTTAAAAATAATATTAGCAGCAATAACCTTTAATAATTCTTTTAGATCCTACTTAGTTTGGCATTTTGACACGAAACATTTCAGATTTCATATATTGACTTGAGGAACCAACCATACTGACACAGTAATGAAATGACAAATGAAACAAAAGCAAAGTAAAGTTTGACTTGCCTGCATGTATTTCTTCACCAGTTCAAGAAACTGTACTTTTGATTTCATCTCCTGTAACTGTCCTCTCAATTTGGGCAACATAGATTTAGTTTCAGGACCTTTAGATTTAAAACACACAGCATAAGAACATCAATGCTACTGATTTACTGGGAAAAATACTTGAAAGTACTACACACCCATTTCATTACTGACAAGTTCCTGTAATCTCACCTTTGCTTCTTCTTTCTTTCTGCAATAGTTTCTGGTAAAACTTTATTGTCTTTCTGTAATTTTTCGTCTCCATCATTAGCAATTGTTCTAGTTCCTATTTAAATAGAAAAATGATTCTGATCAGAATGGTAAATAGAAGGTTCTAGCAGGAAACTGAAGTTTTAGAAGAGTTATCTTGTACAGAAAAAAGAACATCCGAACAGACAAGCATAGGTTATTAGCCGGGAAAAACCACACCTGTGCTTACAGGGACAGGGAAGCATCACCTGTCCCCAGAAAAGCATTAGTTATACCACAGTTCTACAACTTAAGAACTGGAGCTGGTTTGTGTATGGTGAGACTGCACTGTAGTTTGTCTGAATTAGTTTATATAAATACGCCTTCAGTTATAATCGCACTTATCTGGTTGTTTTCAAGAGCATTTTAAAAAGTGATGGTCAGAAGTCATCCAGAATTAAAAGTGATGGGTTCTAAAATCAGTCCACACCCCAGAAATGCTCTGTTAGGCAGCTGACCTATATCTGCATCAAGAAATGAATGTTTGATTGAAGGCAATGGTTTCCAAACAGTATAATCACATTATATTATACAACCACATCAGAAAGCAGTCAGGAGAGCTGCCCTATAAATAAAAGACATATCAGTTTTGAAGTTGAGCTTACATATTTTACATTTATGCTTTTTACATAATAGAAAAAATAAACTAAATTTCTATGGAATTATATAACTTAAGCAATGGGTAGAAATGAAAGTTTATTGGGCTTCTCACAATACTATCAAATTTAATGTAAACATTTATATTTGCTTGCATATCAAAGTTTTCATTATTTTACGAACCAATGAAAATGGGCCGTTCACTTTGGGTTCAGCTTCTGATTTATTACAAAACAAGAAACATGACACATGTTGTGTTTTATAAAAGTGGTGGCTTTTGCACTAGCTAACTACCAGTGACCCAGTTACATGAAACAGCATTTTAAATGGAATAAGTTCACTGAATGCAGCAGACATAACTCCCACAAGCAGAGTGATCAGAAAACACAGCTCAGAGCTAACAAACAACAGATTGGTAAATAGGTTAGCTTTAATGGGATGGACTTACTAGAAATTAATTTGAGTTTGAGAAAAACCTCTTACTGTTTTTCAGAAAAGCTCAAAAGGTTTAACAACATAGTTCATTAGCAGGAAAAAGACACAAAAGCCCTGTGTATTTTTAAAAGACTTAGCACTACATAGGCATCAGAGTACTGAAAGCGCAGAAAAGCTATTATCCAGATTCTGAATTGCAAACTGCTTGCTTTTACTTAAAGGTTTGGTTTTGCTTCACCAACTAAAGCGAAAACAAGTTGATTAAGAGATTATGAACACAGAAAGGGAATCAGAAAGAGTGGCCATTTCCTGACATTTGGAATCTGATGGATGGGAGTGGTTTGTGCCCTAAAAAACTCCCGGTGTGTAGAAATGAAGTCAGCAGCAAATTCCCAGTCTATTTCACAACATCTTCCATTTTAGGTAGGTCTAGAATATAAACATTTATGATAAAGCTATACATTCAATTGTTCTACTTCCTCTGAAGTACATTTAATTTGTCAGGACACTTTTCTATAGAATATCCCTTAGTCTAGGGAACAAAGTAATGACAGAGCAACTTGGCTTACTTGGGAAAATTGCAAATTCCAATCTATCCTTGAAGCACTTTTTACGTGATGAAGAGTGGCTCCACCAAAGGATGCAGAATATTGGCAGAAGGGAAGGGAAAAGAGAAAATGAATGGGAAAGGGAAAACTGGCCAGCATATGCAAAACCTTTACTAGAAGCATCCTAGTCACAGCTTGGGTGCAGTGAAGTTTGGTGGAGACTTGCAAGTAGCTTATGAGATTTGGGGGATAACTGAAACCCAGTGTGGGCAAAGAGGAGAAGGGCAAAGGCTGAGAGTGAAGACTTGCGGCTGCAAGACAGCGGAAAGCAAGCTTATCAGACTACAGAAAAAAATGCTCTTCTCATTGTGAAGGCAGTATTAGACATTGCCCTGGAGAAATGGCAGCCCTGGTAGCTGCCTTCCCTTCTTGCTCTGCTGCGAGGACTTGGCGTGGTTTAGCCTGGATGTGCTCTGTATGAGAGTGCAAAATCAGCAGCTCCTGAACTAGAGATGATGAGGCAGGGAACATATACTTGCTCACCTAAGGACTAACTTTTCTAAGTACAGATTAACCTTTGCTGACCTTAAGAAGTGCAATGAACTATATGATAAGCACCTAGACAATGAAGTGTTAATTATTTTTACGACATTTGAAATTGTCACCTTGATCCAGAAATATTTTAATTTTTTATATTCTAGCTATTTCAAATTCCTTCCAAACATGAGTACATACTACCTTTTTTTTTTTTTAAATTATAATAGCTTGATGAATCCTATTGTTAATATTGTTCATCATATAACAAATGTTTTACTTTTTGCACCTTATTAAATCACAACCTAAGATGCACACAATATCCAACAGGTTCCAGTAGAAAAATGGAAAAGTTAGTTATTTTTATGGCAGAATATTTAATTATGTCATAAATAAAATTATATGTTCTAACACTCAGAGTTCCTCAGAAACTGCATGTTGTCAAACCGACTTAGAGGTATGAAAAATTAAATTTAATTACATTTAGTTTTAGAAAGTGAATAAAGAAACATTTGAATCATATAAATTTTTCTTTGGAGAGATCAGTGTATTAATGAGATGTATATGTCTCCAAAACTGTAATTTGTTGTGTGGTTAGACTCCCATTCAGCACTCAGTTCCAGCTGTAAACTAGACTTGAACTGACCAAGCAGACTTGTTCCTACGAAAGGGTAGTTTCACTAAGTCAGGACAAATGTAGTTGAGCTCAAATGCCTAACTATCTTTAAACATTCACTCTTTGAAATAGCAGCTCCTAAATGTTGCTTTAGTACACTATCGCAAAGCTGTAGAATCAGCTCAACTTTATTGCTGACTTCTTAAAAAAATCTGTCAGAGACCTGATGTAAAAAGTGGATTGATACAATCTTTGCCAGACAACAAAAACTAGACTACAGCTAATCAACAAACTGGTTTCTGAAATAAAACTGGTTAACAGATGATTTAAACAAGGAATGATAGGGTGGAGACAAACAGCTCTACCTTGCATGGGAGGCAAAACTTTCCTCTAGAAACTCAAACCACCTTCCTGCTCAAAAGAGCCACTTACAAGCCTTCTTTCAGACTTTATACTCTTCCTGGACTGGATATGGGACATGTGTTTTCTCCACTAGATTTTACAGTGAGAAGCTGGCAGATAGAATAATTCACTTTTTCAGCTTCTACTTTGTCAGAAAATTCACGTTAATTTTCCCACTGAGTCTATTTTATTTTCTCAGTATTTTGGTTTAGACAGTGCATCATTCCCTTGAAATGTGCACAGCTCTCATTGTTTACACATTAACAGTGTTAATGCTTCATAAATGCCAATGATTAACAACCACATTTATTTTTTAAATCACATGTACTCCAAGTATAACAAATACAAATGTTCATATTATCAAATAAAACTAGCTAAAACACTTTGCTTTACAAATACCGATGTTGGCAACATCAAAGTACAATGATACAGAAGGATTTATAAATGTTAAATCCCATCCCTATCAACGGTACCAGCAACATCCGTGTTGTTCAAAATGATATATGAACTGGTCTTTGTCAGCTGCTGGTATGAAGACTAAAATCATGCTATACTTTTTCACAGTTGATTTGTAGCCTTTGGTTTGATGAATCAGGCAGCAGAAATAGCAGAAAGAAGCTGGATAGAGCTGCTTATCACCCACATGTTGATAATTGATTCTCTTACAGCTAAGAATCATCGTCTCCTGACTGCTGCAGTGGCAGAAAAACAAATTTCAGTTTAATATTTTTTCCATGTCTTTCTTATATATATTGACAAGTTAAAACTTGTTAACAGTTCATCTCGTTTCAACAATATTGCTAATAGTTTATTTCAGAAATTGTCATGACTGATGGAGTTCGGAAAAACAGCAGGATTTTAGGAAGGTTTTCTTTGCTCAGGTTAAATGGTCAAGATTGCTGCAGTTCGAACATTATGATTCTCTAAGTTTTTATTTTAAACACATTTCGAAGAAGCTGGGTTTCACAGAAAATCAGTGGTGCAGTAATATCAGCAGAAAGATTAAAGTTGTTGATGCTGTGGTAGTGAAAGAAATAAAAACAGTCACAAGACCAAAAAATAACCCATATTTTAAACCATCCTCTGTTGAATTTGTAGTAACATGATACTTCAAAAGCAATTTTTTAAATAAAAAAATATGAGAGAAAATTTAATGCAATATTATTAAAAAAATGTCAGTATTATATACCTAAATTTTCTAGTACTCCAAGACTTTTTTTGTATAAGCAGTACAACAGAGAAGATATGTATCTGCACATACATGCTTTTTTGGTGAAAATTAACTTTTCTTTTGCAATGCATTCAAAACATTTCTATGCTGTAGAAGAGTATTTAATCTTCTGTTAACCTTCTTCTCTGAAGGAAATGGTGGAATATAAACTGATTTTGACTTCATAATTAAAGATGACAGTTTATAATTATATTCCTTGTAACTTGAACACAAAGGGATCTCACAAATTAGGAAGACTACTTCTGTAAGATCCCAAGCTTCTATTGTCTGAAAATAATTATTTCATTCTTGTTTGACCACCTGGCCTCATATGCAGTCCAGGTCACATCCATTATTTCTGCATTACTGAGACAGAATAAGATTAGAGTCTAGTTTTTGTCCAGCTATTAAGATTTCACACTAATTTTACATAACACAAGGAAGATTAGTTCACTTATCCTCAGAGCAGTTTGCATCTTTTTCAGCTATTGGAATGTGCGTTGTTTTGTGCTCAAAATGAACTGTTGGCTAATTGCCAAGCCAAATGAATGCACTTTGTATCAATAGTAATCTTCCTCCAGTGGAACATACCGTGCACGAGCACAATATAATTTTCTAGAGAGATACTTCATCACTATTTCCCACCCCAGCCTCTTGAATGATTGTTGGGCTAGCAAATTCTTATGCACTAATGCAAACAGTGGCAATGTATAATAGTATGCATTAATTTCATGAGCAAATTCCAAAGCAGACTGTAAGCACCATGAAACTTCATTTTTGTTGTATGCCTGTTAAATAGGGAAACCAATTGCCAAGTACTTGGAAGATAATTCACATCCTTTTGAATCAAACTAAAATGCTGAGTAGTCTGCAAAAATCTCTAAGTAAAAAGACTGCCTGTTGAAACAGAAAAATCTATTTATATGCTTATGAAAACTCCTTCCTTGTGAAAATCTGTTCTTCAGTCAAGAATTAGTCCTTCAAGTCAGGGAGATAATGCAAGCACATTTTCTCTAGCTGGCACGGTTATACAGGATTAAACAACCCTACAGGATTAGTAACAGGAATTTTTGAGTAGACGTAAATTTTTGAGAATGGTAGTCCTGAAAACCTATTTTTAACTTTTTTATTTATTTATTTTTACACACACCAATACTAGCTGAAATTTCTCATGCTATTTTCTCCTATAGACTTACATCTGAATATTAAGGAGCAAAAAAGTAGAACTTCCTCAATGACTCAGGCTTTAACTTGCCCAATAACAGAAAAATAGTTCTGTTTTTTACTGAAAACTGAAGTGAGGTCACAGCCTCTTCAGAAGAAGTGAATGTAAATAGATCCACTGGGATTTAAACTGGCTATGTGGAAACAAAAAAAGTCTAGATTGTGTTCTCAGCTGTTCAGTTCTACTACATCATGGTCACTTAAAAATAAAGCAATAAATTCAAGTAACTGCCCATCGTAAGGAAATCCAAAAGAGCAGTGCAACTCCTGCTTCATCTTTATTAAACAGATACCTTCAGAGACAGTAAGGAAACACAAACTAGACAACTAAACATTCTCAGGGACACAAAAAGACTCCAGCTGTCTCTATACTAGTAGGTCTTCCAGTATTAATAACTCATTTACTTCAAATTCTCCATGCCCTTCTCATGAATCAGCTCCAACTATACAGACTTCTGTAGCTTCATATATTATCCTTACTCTGGTTTCGGAATTGAAATATTTACAAAACTATTTACAAACTGAAGCTTGTTATACAGTTAGATGCACAAATGTAAAAATTAAGTAAATGTGATCAATATGATCTTTAAGGGAATGGAAGACATTGCTAATCTAAAACAACCCACCCCCCTACCCATGTTAGCCCGTGCGCCCCAAGCTGCTTAAAAGGCACAAAGGTGCACTCATCATGATGATTAGCTATTTCCAAGAGATGATGGGAGCAAATAACTGCCATTCTGCTGGCAAACAGTGAGAAACTGCCAGGGAATTCACCATGACCAAGGGAAAGGGCTCAGAGCACGTGACAGGGAGGACCTCTTGTGAGCCTGTGATACACACCCGTCATAGCCATTCTTAGCTCTCTTCTATAATACTACCACCATGGGATTGGTGCATATGGCAGACAGTACCTTTCCAGTCAACTTCAGGAAGAGAAGATGGGTTGTAGGTCAGTGATCATCAATTTCATGTTGGTGCTCTTTATTTTGGGATACTATCCTTACCTTGGTTTATTGATAAAACATTGCAAATCTTGAGGATTTTAAAACACTCACTTAAGAGTCAGTATTTAAAAGATGAAAGAAGGTTTCAACTCACTGTAACACAACAAATATTATCATACTTTTAACCAGCAAGTAAAGAAGCATTTTAATGATTTTAAAAAATCAAGGCACTCACCACTTTTTTAGCATCTATATTTTGAGAGTCACTTGATTTCTGTTTTGCAAGGTTTTCCATGTAACTATGAACTTCTGAATCAAAACATTCAGCTCCATAAAATGCACTGCTCCAACCAGGACTACAGCCATGAAAGTCAGGTAGATTGGGAGACACAAGGTAGCTGTTTCCACCTGTCTTTATCATGGTCTCTTCCTCTGGCTCTATATTTTCTTCTGCAAAGCCTGGATGAATACAACAGCCATTGCTTTGTAATTGTTGCTCTTTCTCTACAGGGACAGTATTCTGCAGCCTCAATTCTTTTCTGGAATTATCCAAAGGTGACTCATCAAAATCCACTTCAGCTAACGATTTATTTATCACAGGCTCATCCTTCATGTCAAAGGTTGCTTCCTCTTCTCCTAAAGAGGATGTAAGGAGGGAAAAGAAATAATGGTAATGTGCTATGATGCATGCTTTGTTGAACTTAAACACTACACATACAAAATATTGTTATGAGACCATCTATGCCCTCAAACAGTGGTGTTACATGGTTATTTTGGCTCCTTGCTTTCTTTTTCTCAACTACACATTGCAACATGACAAAGGCTAGAGACATTTTAGAACTCTTAAGCTTTGTCAATACATTCCTGAAAATTACAAAATACCTTCTGCACATATACAACAAGCATTTAAACAAAGCATAGTACAGAAACATCAAAACAAAAGTTCAATATGTCAGACTCAGACCTGTGCACGCATTAGTAAAAAGCTTAGCTCTTGAGTTTTTTTCCCATCTATAGGTCCTGAAGCTTTTAGTCCATACACAGAGGGCAAAAATACTTGATACAGCCAAGGAGGACATAGATGTTAAACATTTTATTCCTACAGGACTTACTCCCTTGAGCTATGATGGGACTTCTTTGCAGTTATAACGGCTACTACCAACCTTAAGGGACTGAAGCAACAGTCAAGGGTTGGTATGATGCTGACAGGAGCTTTTACGCCTGCCAGAAGTCTCTCTTTTCACTTGAGCAACCCTTCAGGGCTTAGATATGCCACCTTGGAGTCAAACAGACCTGAATTATTGGTGCAAAGAAGTCACACACCCCATGGGAAGGTCTGGCTTTACATCTTCAATCAGTCTGAGTCAAAAAGGAAAACTAACATAGCATGACAGCAGCCAAGTGCAAACTTACAAATTTATGTTTTGCCATAAAAGTTAACAATGTAGGGGTAAAAGTTGTTCTGCAAAGAACAACCTGCTTAACTTTTCTAAAAAGAGAGAAGTAACAAAGTTTGAATATTGAAACTTGACTGAACTACCTTGAAGAAAAATTAAACTGATATAACAGCAACCAAATACAAGCTGTCCGTGAATACAGCAAGCATAGAAAGGGTAATGGTTTTGTTATAACAACGGGATTTACCAGTCCCAGCCCAGTTTTGAGTTCAGCTACTTCAAAGATGGAGTATTTTGTAAACCTTCAATCACAAAGTAAGCCAGGAAAAATGCAAAACCCACACTGAGAAGTATAAATAAACACTCTGTTAATACAATGAAGATAGTTGGTTAGCGTTTAAAGAG